CACCCCCCCCCGGACACTTTTCTTCCAGCAGAACCGACTCCGGCCAACGAAGAGGCGGAGGAACGACGCGTTCCCGTCCTTTCCAGGCAATGCTGACCGCCAGTGCCGCTGGCCTCCGGCGTAACACAGACCTAACGCTAGAAAAATCAATATATAAACATCGTTTGAAGGGACTTTTTATTTTAAAGGACTCGAGTAGCTTAATGAAATTGCCAGCACGAACGCTACACGCACCAAGCTTCACCTACGCGTCGACAGCCCAGCTCAAGAACAACGATGAGGTTTGGCCAAATCTTGCATAGAAGTGGTCCACTTATTGCACATCGGAACCCCAAGAATGAGATACTTTTGCTGTTGCAAAGGTCGTTTGCAATAGAGCTCTTGTTAAAATCTAGTTGGGGGTGGGGGAGAAGGGGAGGGGTTTGTTTGGAATATCTTTGTTTTTCCCTTTGGGGGAGGTTTCCTGGCTATCTGAAGTCTAAGGAAAACACAAAAAGATTAAAAAAATAAAAATAAACATGGACAATGGCATAAGCCAGAAGCCATTCTATTATTTTTGTAGTTCTTTGTATTTACAAAACGGCATGCCGATAAAATAAAATGGTATATTACAGTATTTATAGTATTCTCTTAAAAAGTTCAACCACACTTTTCAGCTATTTTTTCTTATTTTTCCTTTTTTTTGTGCTGTTTACAACGTAGCCTGTACACGTGGATGTCGTTTCCCTCCGTTACTATACACCACATCCTAGGAGCAACTGGGGCAAGAGCTGACGGGACAGAAGAGGTTCCTTGCTGCGGTCCCGGGCGCAGCGGAACGGCTCCGCTGGCGTGGCGATGGCTCGGCGGCGCGTCGAGGACGCCGGACGTGGCACCGATGGCTGCTGGATGGCTTCCTGCTTAGCTTCGTGGAGTGACTCCTGTCCTTTTCTGGGTTGGGAGATTACGCAAACCGAGATTCATCCTGCCGTCACGTTCCCTCGTCCGGGGGGGTTTTGTTTCCCTGCTGTCACGGGTACCCTTAAGCTGGGCATTCCGACGCCCGCACTCAACCCCAGCACCTCCCGGTCGAGGAGGGCAGCAGCCCTGGGACCCCGCTTCCCAAACGCCGGCGGAAA